AAACTAAAAATGCTTAATCATTTTGAAAATATATTTTTTTGATTGTTAATAAGGATTTATTATATTATTATATAAAAAAACCAAATTTATTATTTATAAAAAATGTTGAGTATAAAACTAAGTAAAAGCTAAAACTATGTTCTATTTCTCAACTTTCTTACATACATAAGTATATTTAATATATTTTTTGCATTTAAAAAATGTCCATTAAAAAAAGGGAGTTTAAGAAATTTTCTTTTAATGCGTATTAAAAACGTTCTTTCTCGATTTTTTATCTGGGCCCAGCTTGTCCAATTTAACGAGCAATAAATTAATAAAAAGTTTTTAATAAAATAGTGAAAATAAAAATTAACTCGTTAAACTACCAAAAATCCAGCTTCTTTGAGCCAAAATATATTGACTAGGAAAATTACTATTAAAAAGTTGGAGGAAATTATTTTAAATTGGCTACGTACTGTCATAAACAGAAAATGTGGAAGGTCGAAAAATAAATATTTTTAAAACTTTCCTATAAGGGTGATTCCACAAAAGTTGGGCAACTTTTGACCTCATTTTGTTTATATAGTTTTCGGAGAAAATTAAACAGTATTTTGTTATGAGAACATAGATAATATCAATAATATAATATAATAAATATACTGTTCCAGAGTACTAATTAAATACATAATTTATTAGAAGATATAAGATTTATTGCAACTTTGAGCATATTATTATACATTAAATATATTAAAATCAAATAATACCACACATCAGTGGCGGCTGGTGGATTTTGGATATATCGATATCTTAATTATTAGATATGGGACCCACAACAAATTTATATGAGTTTATAATGAGCAAGCAGAATTTAAATTGAAGTTTGCGAAAAAAAGATAACCAAAACATCGAACATGGAACTGACGACACGGTACTGATGAATGGGATACAAATTTGAGATTATAATTCGGAATTAAGTATTTTACTGATATTTTTTATTAGTGGATGCTACTTATCAACAAATCACATATAGCCTTATATAAATTACAATCAAATATATATACGTAAGAAAATAGCTACTCACCACAGTACTGAAATTTTGACTGGAACTATACGTGCATTCACCACAACTTCGCCGCTTGCATTGTTTTCAAGATGACTGTCGTGCATAGGGCTCTGTAGGTAATTTTTTACCAACACTTGGGTTAAAACGAGGACTTGACGTTTAAACTTTAATTTTAACATTGGACACAGAAGTGACGGGTAAAAGTGATTATCATTTTTTTTTAAATTGCTATTATTCGAATCTTTAATAAAATATGAAAAAGACATTAATTAATGTTTTATAGTTTGTATGAAATTGAAAATTTGACAAATTGAATATATTTTAAAATAAAATCACTCAAATATTTCATTCAGGAGTTGTGACACGCCAAGGTACTGATGTTTTGAATATTTTTTATGTTTTTATACAATTGTGCTTTTGAAAAAATACATTAAAATTAGGTTGACAAGTTAAAAAAAAACGTGAATTTACAAAAAATATTAAAATACCTCTATTGACTGATGACATTAAGTTGTCCAACTTTTGTGGAATCACCCATTAGTTTATTATTATTTTAAAAATATATTATAATTTATTTCTATGCAATTGTCCCCTGGGTCACATAACTTTCCCCTGGGTCACACAATATGTGATCCAGGAGACGTCTGACCCAGGGAAAAAATGTATGTTTTTAGAACATAACCTCTTTACTGTTTTAAAGATAAAAATTTGTATTTTTGCCCTTAAAACATTACTTGGATACTTATTTTTGAACATTCCTACTAAAATCCGTTACCAAATACATTGTCACAAGGGGGCAGCACCAAAAAATGTGCGCTCAATTCAAAAGGTCATTTATAAAAGCGATGACCCAGGAGACGTGACCTAGGGGACCAAAATATAGGGACATACTTTAGGGGTTATTTTAACCACTTATATTTTTAAATATTACAACAAATGGGCTTTTTCTGTAATATTTGGAATATATTCTATTCTACTCCAAGGTGTTTAAATAACATTAAGTAGTGTTAAGTACTGTTGGGGAAAGTTTAATTTTTTTGATAGAGTTAAATTTAAAATTTTACAATTTTGCTATTTATTTATTTATTTATTTACATGGTTGGGTATACCCACAGTGAGTATACTCACAGATACTCACAGATAAAATCCAAAATTAGGATCCTATAATATTTACAAACAATTATCAATTTACATATAAATTTAAAAAAAGAACAATAATATACAATATTTACAATTAAAACAATATTTACATTTTTACAGACAATCTTTTTTTAAGTTGTGTTTTAAGAAGTGTTTGGAACATGAACAAATATCAAATTTATTATTTAATAAATTATAATTTCTTATCATTTGATTAATTGGAGAATTATAGCCCAAGTTTGTCCTACTTGAGTTGGTAACAAAGAGATGAGTTTGTCTTGTTGGTTTAGATGGTATATTAAAATTTATTTGGGAGAGGAGTTGTGGGCAGTCAATTTCAGAATTAAGAATTTTATGCAAAAACATCAAATCGGCGATGTTTCTTCTTTCTTTTAATGTAATTAAATTTAGATCGCGCCTAAATGTGTTAAAATCATCAATATCATAAACAGTAGGGTGGGCCGAAAATCCGCTTTTTTTGAATTTTGTTCAGTAATAGCAAAAATTTTGTTCATTATGTTGTAAAAAAATTTTGTGTAAAAGATTAAAATTTTCGATCAACATCCTAGGCTCGCCCAACGCAATTAAAGATCAAAATGTTCAAAAAAATTTTGATACTAAAATCGGGTTTATTTCTAAAACTATCCATCTGAAGTAATTTAGTGTAAGGACCTTTTTTGTAGAGCATAAAATTTCCGATCGAATTAAGTTGGGAAAATTTTTTTTTGAACATTTTGATCTTTAATTGCGCTGGGCGAGCCTAGGATGAGGATCGAAAATTTTAATCTTTTACACAAATTTTTTTTACAACATAATGAACAAATTTCTGAAACTATCCATCTAAAATAATTTTGTGTAGAGCATAAAATTTCCGATCGAAATAAATTAAGAAAAATTTTTTTTGAACATTTTGATCTTTAATTGCGTTGGGCGAGCCTAGGATGTTGATCGAAAATTTTAATCTTTTACACAAAATTTTTTTACAACATAATGAACAAAATTTTTGCTATTACTAAACGAAATTCTAAAAAAGCGGATTTTCGGCCCACCCTAATAAACAGCATACAATTTAAAATGAATAAATTTTATAAACTTTCTTTGTACTCCTTCGATTCTCTGCAAGTATGCAGCATAATACGGATTCCAAACAACAGATGCAAAATTAAGTTTACTATATATAAAGGCGTAGTATATAATCTTTATGCTGTCTATGTTTCGTAATATTTTTGAGGTTCTTATTAAAAAACCAAGTAAATTTGTTTACCGTATTTTTAATAAGAAGGTTAAATGAAAGTTTAGAGTCAAGTAATACGCCTAAATCTTTAATTGTTGATACGCGAGTAAGGTTTGAATTTTTTATTTTATAAGTGAAGTCTATGACATTGATATTTTTTGTGAATGTGATAAAAGAACATTTGTCAAGGTTTAAAAAGAGTTTGTTGTTCTCACAAAAATAGCAAAATCTATCCAGATCCTCCTGCAGCTTTTTAGAGTCCTCCAGGCAATGTATTTGTGCAAATATCTTCAAATCATCAGCATATAACAGGTACTGACAGTTTTAAAAACATTCCGAGACATTATTAATGTAAATCAAAAATAACAAGGGCCCTAAATGAGACCCTTGTGGCACTTCAGATGTTGCTATATATTTGGTAAAAACACTTGAACCAATTGATTCCAAATATTAAAGTTGAGGGACAGCAAATGTACAAGAAATTTGAAAATAATCCATTTGATATATGTTATGCCTGAATACAGCGAATCGCTTATATTGTCGCGAATATACAATACCTAATTAACATCTGGGGAACATGTGGGGTAACAAACTTTAATAAAATTCAGACACTCCAAAATAAGGCTATAAAAATAACTTTTCAAAAACCATTTCTTACACCTACAATTGAGCTTTTTGAAAATAAAACACTGTATCCGGTAAGATATATTCTTGAACTTGAACAAAGTAAACAAATCTTCAAAATTTTAACTCGGGACCTAAAATGCAATAGTAACTTGAATTTTAATAGTGACATTCACGACTATAACACCAGAAATAACAGAAATATTTATCTTGCAAACGTTAGAACAAACGCAGCACTTCATAACCCTTTAACTCAAGCCACATTAGCTTTTAACTCGTTACCTTTAAATATAAGACAATGTCCTAGCTTTAGGATATATTTGAACCGATTAAAAATGTACCTAATGAATAAGAATTTTATATAAGACCATAAATCATGATATGTATTTTTTTGTTTTATTTTATATTTAATGTTTAAGTAGATAAATGTGAACTGTTTAATTGTGACACATTGTGATTTCAGTCCTGATACCAGCAGTTTGCTGTTTAGGGACACAACTACATAGTATTAGTCAGTATAGTAGTATATATGCATGTATTTTATTTTTTTTTGTACAATTGTTGTTATTTTAAATAAAAAAAAAATAAATAAATATGTTATTTTAGATTATCCAGGAGACAACTTCCTGTCATCGAAACCGATGGTGCGGTCAAGTATTCGTCTCCTAGAGAGCAAGCCGAATTGGAATGGATCTCAGGGGCGCCCCTGAACGTCTCCACCGAATCATCTTCGGAATCTTCGGCGACCTCGGTTAACTATTGGCGGCACAACTTGCGGCACCAAAAGGGCCCCGTTACGGATTTAATAATTAAAAGATCAAAGCAAACCGTAAGTAGTGAGGCACGTGGAAATTAGGGTTCAAGTATTTCGAGTTTTACATAATTATCTACTTTAATTAAAATACTTATTGTTGTTCGGTGCTTGTGCAGTTTTAAGTGTTAGTATTGTTTGGTGAGTGCGCTAGACATACCATGTTACTAATATTAGTTATTAGTTTTATAATAACTTTATTTTTTGTGTATGTAAAATGGAAGCTCACCTATTGGAGCCGCTGCGGGCTTCTCAACCGGGAAACTAAGTTCTTTGTGGGGACAATTTGGGGGCTTCTAAAGCAAGACATCGGTTACGCTGAGCACATCAAGATTACATACGATTTTTTGAGGAAAAATAAGCAAATCCATGGGGGCGATTACTTTTTTCTGCGGCCGATTTACATACCGGTGCACCCCACGGTGGTCAAACACGTCATGTCGTTGGATTTTCCGAGTTTCACCGATCGCGGTCTGTACTACAACGAGGAAGATCCCATACACGCCAACATGTTTTTCTTCGGAGGCACCAGGTGGAAAAAATTGCGCACCAAAATGACCCCGACGTTCACCTCCGGCAAGATCAAAATGATGTTCGACACTCTAACGCAATGCAGCACCCAGCTGGAAATGGAGATCGACAAGAAGCGCAGCGAGCCCGTCGACATCAAGGACATCCTCGGACGATACACCACGGACGTGATAGGATCAGTGGCGTTCGGGGTCGACATCAACAGCCTGAAGAACCCCAACTGCAAATTCAGATACCTGGTGGACTGCTACATCAGAAAGAACCCGTGGCAGAACGTCCAATACTACCTGACGTATCTGATGCCGAAAGTTATGAGACTCTTTAACCACAGACCGTACGACAAGATAGCGACGGACTTCTGTCTTGAAACCACGAAAAAAATTGTGGACCACCGCGAACAGCACAACGTAAAACGCAACGACTTCATGGACATGCTGATCCAGCTCAAAAACAACGGAAAGCTCGACGATGCCAGTGCGGACGTGGAAAGTGACAAGTTGACTTTTTTGGAGTTGGCCGCACAAGCGAGCCTGTTTTTCGGCGCGGGCTTCGAAAGCACGTCCACCATGATTTGCATGGCCCTGTATGAGCTAGCTTCGAACCAAAAGTTGCAGGATAGGTTGAGGGAGGAGATTTCCAGGGAGCTGGAGAAATACGATGGCAAAATGACTTACGAGGCCATGATGAGCTGTACATATTTAGATCAAGTTATCAACGGTAATTATTATATACATAGCAACAAATCAAAACTATTTTGCATTATCGCAGCAACTATGTATTATATTAAATAAAATTCTAGAAACCTTCAGATTGTACCCAATACTAAATGGTTTGGATAGGGTATGCACCAAAACCTACAATGTACCTGGAACCGACGTGGTTATTGAAAAGGGCACCAAAGTCATAATACCAGTGGTGGGGTTGCAAAGGGATCCTGAATATTACCCTGACCCCATGAAATTCGACCCGGAAAGGTTTTCAGAGGAAAACATAAAAAATATACAACCGTTTACGTTCATACCGTTTGGAGCTGGGCCGAGATTCTGTATTGGTACAAGACTTTTTTTTAAATCTTGCACAAACAAGGTTGTCTATTTTTTGTTTTAGCTGAAAGATTTGGACGAATGCAAACCAAAGTTGGACTGGCAACCATAATAAAAGATTACAAATTAACAGTAAACCCAAAAACCAAAGTGCCAATTGATTGTGACCCAAAAAGCTTTTTTATCGTTATAAAAGGAGGAATATGGTTAAATTTTGAAAGAGTTAATTTATAAATCATGAATTATTAAAAAAAATTTTATTTATTTACGAACGGTTTTTTTTTAAACTCTCTGATTGTCCATATATTTTTTTTCCTAAATTTCATTTTTAGTATTTCCTAAATACCCTATAAAATGATTACAGTAACAATAATCTTCTCTTTAAAAATGAATTAGTCAAAAATGACTAGTTACTACAGTTATTAGTGGCTGCTTTATCACTTATACCATGGTTAATCATGGGATACCATGGTATCCCCAACATTTAATAGCCAATTCTTATGTAAAATTGTCCCCTGAATCCGAAAATACACTCTCTAAAAATTAATTAGTGAAAATGACTAATTTAATAGTTATAACTTTATAATTTTTTACGGTATTTTCGGATTCAGGGGACAATTTTACATAAGAATTGGCTGTTAAATCCGAAAATACCGTAAAATATTATGAAAGTGTAGCAGTTTTTTGAGATATAGTCAATTCCATATTAAATGGAAAATTGACTATATCTCAAACACTGTTCTACTTTTTTAACTTTTGGCGACATTTTCGGATTCAGGGGACAATTTTACATAAGAATTGACTTCTAAATATCCGGGATACAAATTGCTGTTGACGATAATTATCAATGGCTGCTTTTTCGCTATGGCAAGTAGCCATTTTTAACTAATTCATATTAAAAAAGTATAATTTTATTTTTGGTAATTTTATAAAGTTAATTTATTAAAAACACCTTAAGGTAAAAAGTTACAACACTTTTAAGACACATTGGTATATTTACTAGGTTGTTCTCTGGCAGCATAAACAACAAAAAATTTAAAAAATAAATCTACTAAATTATACCGAGTTATAGAATTTTCCGCAAAACGGAGCTTTTTGACCGGTGACGTCACCAAAACTGTTGATCATGCAATGTCGCAGAAAGGCGCTAGACAGTCGACTGTTTCGTGTCAGGCCAACTGGGATATCGATCTCAGTTGTTTCTTGAAAATTATTGTGTCAATACAGAAAATTTGCATAAAAATTATGCTTTAAAGTTGAGTTGTATAAATGCTGATGTGCCGGCTAATTGCCCTTAGGCCCGTGTCTATTAACAATTATGTGCTGGTATGTAAAATGGAGCATTATCAATAAAAATCTTAAGGTTTTGTTATTTTGTCAGGTTAATTTATTTAAAATAGTTAAATATATATACCAAATTTTAAAAACAATAAGTAGATACTTACTACAAACAAAATCAACTTTTGGCCAAATTAAACTTTCCCAATAAACTAAGACAATATCTTCTAAATTTAGCAAAGTTTTATCGATATTTTATTTACTTTTGGGAATAGCTTTACTGCGGTAACATTTAAAATTTATACGATTGTTCGTGTGGTTGAATTATTTGTTTTTTACAGGACGAATCGGTAACGAGTGGTCAGGATAACTCGCAGTTGTGGGCCGTTGATTCTTCGCTTTTGTCAAATATAAATCAATGTAATAATAATGAAAGAGGTGAGATGAGTTTTTTTATATTTAAAGTATTTATAACTTTTTATACAAAATAAAATTAAAAAGCACAATATTGATTATTTGTCCACTTAAGTTAAGGTAGTAGAAAAATTATGAATATGAATTTAGTGAGTAAAATAACTTGTTTTGTTTTAGTACCTCCTAATATTCTTCGCCCGGTGTATGTCCTTCAACCAGACAGCATAGTAGGTGTATCGGGAATTAGGGGACATAGAAGATACGATCGTGGACGGTCATTTTCTCCACCAAAGCCACCCCGTAGATTTGTCAATGGGTCACACGAATCTTTGTCAGGTACAAAAATAATTTAGACCAATCAGGTGAAATTTCATCAGTGTCGGGCAACTTGGTGTAGTGGAACACACTCAAAACAAAGGACTCCCTGAGCTTATATGCTCGGTTGGTAAGCCAACAGAGGCGAGATGTAATAACATCACGTGATCCACACCGTCTGACGACGTGGGCTTTGCCGTAATCGGTCGTTAGACGGTGTGGATCACTTGATGTTCTTACATCTCGCCTCTGTTGGCTTACCAACGCAGTATATAAGCTCAGGTAGTCCTTTGTTCAAAACAAAAAACTTTGGCGAGGTGTCTTTCTTACGAAAATTACCAGTAATGGATCAAGATAGTTTCTTGAAGAATATAAGAAAATTGAATGTTTACAAATAACTATTGTTACAGCCTCAGCTATTCATAATAGCGCAGGACCTGTGAACGCTTCGAAAAAACATTACGATGGTTTTAGAAAAAGTTTTTCGTCAGAGCAGCTTTACAACAAAGATAAGCCAGCACACGAGCCGTTTTCATTTTCTTTGTCCAGTCGAAGCTCAACTACGTCTACAGGTAAGTTAATAGTTTTACTATAGGTTGACATTTTTTTTTAAATTATTATGTGAATCGCTGCTTATTTTGAAGGAAAAGCAGAAATATGAATTTATCGCTTATCGATATTAATCTTATTAATATTAAATAATATTTTAAATTAATCCCGGAGCATTCGCCAAATTTTCAACTAAAATGTTTTTAACTTGATTTATATTCTTAAATAAAATTTAAATTATTATTATGCATATTGTAATAAAATTCTTATCGCCTTGTTTGAACCATTAATCAATTCTTAACCCATTTTTAACAGTTTTAAATTCTAATAGGGTATTTGACTTGGTAATAGAGCTTGAATTAATAGAGTGAAGCCAATTGGCAAAAATCAATTTTGAATGGAAGAATGAAAATGTTACCTACTTTTAAATGTGTTTTGCTTGATAAGTGGAAAATGAATGCCCTATATTATTTCGTAAGCATATATTTATTATATTAAAATGAAAGTAAACTTTTTATGGGCTATGTAGGGGGTCATTCCATAGTTTCAAAAGTATTACATTTGTTCAACCAGTCTAAATTTTTATGTATTTTGAAATATCATTTTAGCAATTAAAGTGCCTTATTCTCTTAGTTTTTAGTTGTTTTATCTAAATTGTAAAATTAGTACAGTTTAGCATTTAGGATAACGATAAAAAGTGTGCGTTTCGGGTGTTTCACTCCATGTCCTGAACATTGTTACATTTATTTGAAATTCAGCGAATTTTCTTAGGGAAACATTCCTAAAAATTACAGGCCTTTAAAAGTCTAATATTTACTAACCATCTACCACATAATCACTGTCACAAATAACGTTTTACTATTTTTTTATAAAATTTTACTTTGTTTCGGGTGTTACCATGGTTTTATTTCGGGTGTTACAAGTACAAAAATTAAACACTTTATATGGACAAAATCGGTGTTTTTTTAGTCTCAAGGTATACTACAAAATAAGTTGGTAACAAATAAATATAAATAAAATTAGTTCTCCTTAAACATATATATTAAGTTATAACTTAAGCAGCTTCGGGTGCGATTGATAAATCGGAAAAAAGGGTAAAATCGTTATTATTGCCAAAAATCGGTAGAAACATAATTATGGACGAAAATCTAAGTATTCGGTATTTTGCTAGGTCCGTTGCCATTTCGGTAGAAATACCGAAATTTCGGTAAGTTCGACAACACCATCGGAAAAACAGTCACAACTCTTTAAAAGGTGTGACTGCTTTTCCGATGGCGGCGCTAGTGGGCCGTCGAAAGAGCCTTAAAATATTACTTATTGCATTCTTCAAGCAATACACACACATATATCGACATATGAAAAAAGTAACACTCGAAACGTTTCGGGTGTTACAGTTTTTAATCAAGAAAAACACATATCAAGTTAGTCTCATGCTCAGATATTAGTTAGTATTTTAAATCATTACCTTACTTTTACTAAATATTATTACACTAATCAATCTGTAAGGTATAATAATAAAACAATTGCATGATTTTTCGTTTCGGGTGTTACAGTGGCAAAGTAAGAATAAAACACACTTATAACATTTTTTTCGGGACTGTGACGAAATCCACCAATACTACGATAAATAATCTCAAATCACAACGTGGCAAAAAGGTTGACAGATTGACAGTTTTCTTTCGTATTTCCAATAGTTATAGGCACAATGGTCATTCAGCCAGTTCACTTGGGTACAGATTTTGAAGACTAATTAACATAAAAATTACGCGTTTATTCTAGTTTTCTTTGTCGCACATTATAATTTGGAATGTTTTTTTTCAAAATTCATCAGATTTAATGCGAAAAGAACATATTTATTTTTCACCCTTAGTATCGTAGTAGTAGTATGTCACAATGGTCATTCAGCCAGTTTACTTGAGTACAGATTTTGAAGACTAATTAACATAAAAATTACGCGTTTATTCTAGTTTTCTTTGTCGCACATTATAATTTGGAATGTTTTTTTTTCAAAATTCATCAGATTTAATGCGAAAAGAACATATTTATTTTTCACCCTTAGTATCGTTTGTCATGGAATGACCCTAGGGCAATATAAATATTAAAACATTCATTGCTTAATATAACATTAATAAAAAAATCGAATTCGGACTAGTGAAAAATTATTTATAAATTACAATACACAGATAAATAAATATAAATACATATATAAATAAGTTGTTAATAGGGAAATAAATTATGTTTACGCCCAAAAAGCAATAACACTAAAGTGGCGATTATATTGATAACAGTTATTAATTAAGGGTCTGACCTAATTCTGGTTGTGGCCCACATACACTTAAATGTACGAGCCTTTATGCAAATCATATTGTCGGTTTAAAAATAACTTGTTTACGAAATAAAATGCTTATGTTAATAAAATACAATATTTACTTTTTCTAAAAAAATAATTATAATAAAATATTTAAAAAAGTGTTTTTTGATTGCTACCTACTATAAAGTCTCAGAAACCAACTAAATAAAAAGTTGTCTACATAGGATAGAAATAAATATTAAACAAAAACTAATTTTAATTTTAAAAATTATCCCGGTGCATCCGCCAAAATTGAAAAAGTTAGTTTATCGTAAACATGATTTTTATGAAAAATAGTACATTATATGTATATTTTTTTAAGTATTTA